GAAAACAGCCAGGTGCTATACAAACCTGTACTGGATTGACTTATGTCAAGCAATACAGTTTGCCTCAGACACAAGAAACCTGCGAGTCATGTATGACGGCCTAAGAAAGCCCTTGGCCCAGTTGTTACTAAAGACCCCCTCATGTCTCGACACGGCAAAGTAAAAATCACAGATAAGAACAAGCAGATGTGATGCTGGTACCCCAGGACATGCATGATGCTAACATCATCACTCCCTACAAGAACAAAGGAGACAAGGATGACTGCAAAAACTATAGGGACATCTCTCTCCTCGGCATCACAGGCAAGGGTTTTTCCACAGTCATTCTGAAACACTTGCAGTAACTTGCTGACCACATCTACCGGGAATCACAGTGTGGATTCAGAGCACAGAGGTCAACAGTGGACATGATATTCTCCTTTTGTCAACTCCAAGAAAAATGCAGAGAACAAAACAAGCCATACGTAGCATTTTTCAACTTGATGAAAGCTTTCAACATGGTCAGCAGAGCAAGCAGGTTTGTTCAAGGTCCTGGTAAAGATTGGATGCCCCCCAACTTTACTCACTATGATGCACTCCTTCCAGAAAAACAGCAGGCCATAGTTCAGTTTAATGGATCAACCTCTGGCAGGTTTGTGATGAAGAATTGAGTGAAGCAGTGTTGTTTTCTGGTGACCACACTCTTTGGGAATTTCTTCTTTATGCTGCTGCATTACGCTTTTGATAGCTTGGAGGAAGGCATGTACTTTCACACAAGATCAGATGGCAAACTCTACAATTTATCATGTCTAAATGCCAAGACAAAAGTGAGGCACTTATTCATTAGGGAGCTCCTTTTTGCTGATGATGCTGGACTCGCCCATGAAGAAGGCCAACTACAAATACTCAGGAATTGCTGGGCCTTTGCTTGCAGGGTGTTTGCCCTGACCATCACCCTTAAGAAGACTGTGGTCCTAGGACTGTTCACCAGTCAGCACCTATCAGCCTTGACAACACACCTCTCGAGGCAGTGAACAAGTTGTGCTACCTTGGATCTACAGTGAGTGGCAACTTATCACTTGATGAAGAGTTAAATGTGTGCATTGGAAAGGCTGCGACCACTTTCAGTAAGCTGTCCAAATGAGTCTGGAATAATACAGAAGTCACAATCAAAACTAAGCTGCTTGTATACAACACCTGCAATCCTCAGTGTTCTTATGTACAGCAGTGAGACATAGTCAACATATGAATATCAAAGAAGAAGCTGAACAGCTTCCACCTGTACTGTTTATGGCACAACCTTGACATCAAGTGGCAAGACAGAATTACCAACACAGAGGTCATCACTAAAGCCAACCTGCCAACCATTACTGCACTATTCAAGCACTGGCACCTACTGTGTCTTCGCTGTCTATGCAGGATGGATGATGGGCACATCCTGAAGGACATCCTGCATGGGCAAATTGCAGGTGGGGAGAGAAGAGTAGGGTACCTGAAATTGCACTTCAAAGACATCTGCAAGCAGGACATGAAGGCCTTTGGAATCAACCCAAACCTTTGGGAGGCCTTAGCAGAAGACAGGGCAAAGTGGCACTCCCTTCTCAATCATGGAGTCCAACATCATGATGAGAAATGGTTTCTGCAATTACAACAGAAATATGACTGAAGGAAATGGCCTGTCAGTACAGTAGCCCCTAATGTCATGTACACCTGTGACCACTGTGGCAGGACCTGCAAGTCTAACATCGGTCTCTGCAGCCACAAGAGAAATGAGCCACCAGTCACTAGAATAACTGCAATATCCACTGTCACTCAACAATGAACGGATGCCATTCAAAAATATTATACCATTTTTTAAAAGACGAGTGCCATTTTGTTTTGCGTATGGTTTAGTTCATATGACTCATGAGAAGTTCTTATTTTATCTGTCATCTCTTGCAAATGATATGTTGCATTTCAGGACTTGACAGTTAGCTGACTTAGAACGAGAACAGTCTAAGGCTGTATACAGATATTCATTTCACGGGAAAAAATTTCTTTCAGTAGAAAAATATCTGGGGAGCTGGACTGTATAGATGTTCCTTCAGCCTCATGGCTGGAGAGCTTGTCTGTAAAGCTCTTCAGCCAGGGGGCATTAGAGGGCTACTCCCTGGGCCATCCCTTCTCTTAGGGTACCCCATTGCTTTACAGGCTGTCCTCTTCTCTGTCTGGGATGGGGACAGACTATCAAGTTAGGTGGTAGCTGCTGAAAAGCAGCAGCTGTCACAGACAGCCAGGGAATGGAGTGTTCCCACCCTCGGAGCATGCCCACCCCCATCCTGCCAGTCAGCTGATTGCCAGGAGGGGGGCATTCTTCCCTGGTGGAAACTCTCCTAGTTCTTGCCTGCAGGAGAACAGGTCTGCTCCTTGCACTTCTAGGACAAGGGGACGCACTTAGCCACTGGGGCAAGACTTGAGGTACCTTTTGGCAAGGGCACAGTAGATTAACTGGGAGCCAGCAGGAGAATGCATTCATAGGTCCGGTTCCCAGTTCCTTCAGGTTCCTCTGGTTCCACTTCACTCAAATGGGTGGCATGGTGGTGATTTAAAAGTTGGAGGGGCTGGTAGCCAGGTATGCAGAGGCTTTCCCCAGTCTGGTTGGACTCCTGGCTGCTCCACTACCCAGCTAAGCTGTGGGGCAGGGAATTGCCTGATTTGGGGAAGAGGCAGGGGTGTTGGCTCTTGGTACTCACGCCTCCTGGTCTACAAGCAGGGAAGGGAATAGCTGCCCCCCCACGCATCAAGAGTGGGGTAACACTGGTCTCAGGAAGGCAGGGAGCTTTTACCTGGCTCCACTAAGCCATGGGAAAGTGCATATAGACTGTCTCATGGGAGAAACTTCCAGAAGCAATTTAACCCTGGTTGTGGCCAGGATATTTTTCACCCAAACCAGGCATTTTGTTTTAGGAGACAAAGCCTGTATATTTGTACACTTTTCATTTCTGCTGGGAAAATGGTGACTCTCCTGGTAGGAACTGAATATCTGTACCTAGTCTAAGATAGAGAAGATAAATTAGGCTTTTAAGATTTTTTTTAATTGAGTGACAATGCTCTGGTTTTGTTTTATTCTGATTTTGCTAAGCAAAAACAGAATGTTCTTGCTTGAGGTACTTTGAAACAGGACATATGATTCAGGTCCTCAGTTTCATATATTTAAATCCCAGATGGCAAGGTTGGAGGGAATAAATTTAAATGAAAAAATGATACTGTGTTGGTGCAGGTATAAGTTACGCTTAAACCATACTAAATTTGTGGAAGATAAGTGGTGTTATAGTTGAAATGTGCTTTGAGCAGTTGCACATTGAGGGTTAATACTGTTTCTAGTCTGCACAGGTCTGATTTGTCACTAGAGGGCTGGTGAGCAGGGACATGACTAGGAGCCAGGACACCTAGGTTCTATCCCTGCTGGGGCTGGGATGGTGCATCCTGGGATGCTGAAGAACAACAAATTGCTTGTTTTATCTCTGTGGAGCAGACTGAAGTTACCATAACAATAGCTGGGTAACAGGGCCCATGAATTAATCCCTTCCTCAAGTAGTGTAACTTTGAAATGCTCAGAGGGCACTTTGCATGAGTTTAATGAGCTTTAACATGTTGATGCTCATGTTGTGTGTCCCTTAGTGTGGTCTAAGTGTAATGTGTAACTTCATCCTAAAATAATCTGTTTTAAGTAGATCTATCGCTGTTTGGTTGGTGTGTACATGTAACAGGGAAGAACCCTACTTTCTGCATCTGTGTTAATAGTCAAGAGTCCAGTGTATTTTTAGTTACCTAAAAGCCTCAGCATGACTTTATTTGCTTGAGAAAAGAGAATTCATATCACAGTCTGGACTGACACAATGTACAGATATGATGGTGCACAGGGAGGCTGAGCCCAGAGCTGAAAGCCCCCCTGAGCCCAGCATCCTGCCTCGGTCAGGTGGTGTCCCCTCACAGAGCCAGCACAGAAGGAAGTGGCCCCTCCCGCCACCCAGGCCTTTCCCAGGGTGACCTGGGCCTGCCCGGCAGTGGCAGGCACATGGTGTCCCATGCAGGTTCGGAGCCAGCAGCAGCATAGCGCAAAGCCCAGTGGGCAGCCCACCTCTGCCCTGCGCACAGATCCAGGAGGCCCCAGGGTGCACCCAGCAGGGGGAGCCCTCCCCCCCCACATCCGTGGAAAGGCCCAGGCCACCTTTGTGTCAGCCCTGCCCTGAGGATGGGGTGAGCCAGCCTGAAGAGAGAAAACCCCCGGGAGCAGCAGGCTGCTGCTGCGCTCTGCACCATACTACAAATGCCTCTGGAGTTGCACAGGATGCCATGTGCCTGTCACTGCAGGGTGGGCAGGCACGTGACGTTTCACAAGGCTCCTGGGTCAGTGGCAGCGTGGTGCAGAGCCCAGTGTGCAGTGGCAGCCCTTCTCTGCCCCACACAAAGACCCAGGGGGCACGTGCCCCACATGCCTCCCCCAGGATGCGCTCAATGATTGGGAGCCCCCAGCCCCGTCCCCTGGGTGAGGTGCCTAGGCTCTGACCACCCCACTACCCACCCTGGGGCCCCATTCACCCCAGCCTCTGCCTGTACTCCCTTGCCTCCCTCACCATGGGGGCCTTGATCTTTCCCTTCCCCCCAGCACAGTTACTTTCTGGGTGCTGCTCCACACACGGTGCAGTGTTCCTGGCTGTGTGCAGCAGGCTGCTGTTGGGCTCTGGGTGTCTGTGGCCCCTCTCCCTGGCCTTCCGCGTACCACTTCCAGGTCTTCTGCATACCACTGGTGATACGTGCATCACAGTTTTGGAACTGTTGCTCTAGTGGCTTGCAGACAACTTTTTGTGTTATTCTGACTACAGTGGAAGTCACTGACTTGAGCTTCCCTACCAAATCTTATGTAAGAAGACTAGTCTTTAGCAGTTTTTATTTTCTTCTCTGCTGACTGGTTTGTTAGAACTTTTGGACACCTGTGTTAATGCAGTATACCCCTGACCTTTTTTTCTTTCCTTGCACAGATTTCTTTCTTTAGTCTGTGACCTTTGGGGGCGAGCACTACTGGTGTTGGTGGCAAGGACTGAAGAAGCTGGTGTTTCATACATTGGCACACTGAAGAGCTGGGGAAGTAAGTAATCTGTTAGCTATATTTGTTCATTTGTATTTTTCCATCTTCAAGGAATTTGAGAGTTTTGATCCTTCCATACAGAGAGAAGTGAATGGAAATAGATTTGGGGTACTCATTTGCACTAATGCTTTTTCATGAAAGCAGGAAAACTTGCATGCCTCATTCAGAACTTCAGGAGGATAGCTCTGATTATAAGGACTTGCTTACTCTTACAAATTGTTTCACTTCATTCACACTGATACAGTTAAAGGAGTAGTACCACCCTGTATAGATGCAGTTATGCTGTGTAAAGGTGTATTCTTACAGGATTGTTGTTTCTGTATGGGAAAAAAAAATACATCAGGGCAGCCCCTTATTTTGACTCACTTACATTGGTGACACACACTTAAAGGTGCTTCATAACAATTTCTGTGTAAGAACAGCTTCTACTGTTGTATTGGTATAGCTTATTCCCTTCCCTGTACAGGAAAATCAATACCTGTATCAGGGATTTTTATATTGATATAATTAGGGGTGCACCGATAAAGATTTTCTTCGCTGACGCTGATAGCTGATGATTACCCAGCCATATCAACCGATACCAATCTGATACCTGATTTACAGGAATGCAGCCTGACAACTTGGAGAGCAGCATCCAGCTGCTGAGTCTGTGGGGGAAGGGGTATGGGGGGGGGTGCAGATCAAGGCCCTCATGGTGAGGGAGGGAGTAGGGCAGGGGCAATGTCCAGCCAGAGCAGTGAACGCATTCCCAGAGCAGGGTGTGGGGCAGAGCTGCAGGTGGCTTATCTGGGCCGGGTGGGGGGAGCACTCCACGCCACTACGTGCACCCTAGGGGAGGCATGGGGTACATGTGCCCCCCAGATTTGTGCATGGGGCAAGGGTGGGCTGCCCACTGTGGTCTTGGGGCTGGGGGCTGTGCCAGCCTTTTTCCAGTGTGGGGGTGAACTGGGGCTGTGCTTGGGGTGGGTGGGGGCAG